TTTATTTTAAAGAGGACTCAGAGCCTTTAAAAACTTCCCTAAATAATTTATCATCTTTCTAAATAAATAAATAAATAAATAAAAAAATAAAGACGCAAAACATATAATAAAAACAACGAGTCCTTTGGAAATAAACACAACAACTCAAACATTTCAGTTTGGGTTTGTTTCTGCTGCGTTTTGCTCTTTGGGGGGAGAAGTTCCTGTGGACTTGAACACTTTTTCATGCAGATTTTGTTTCTTAATTAAAGACTCCAGTCACTCCAAGTCATTCAGTCATCAACTGAAAACTCCCCCAACAGCTACTGTTTTATTTAAGACCATCTTGTAAACTCTGAATTTCATTTTGCACCTCTCAGAGTCTTTCCCAACATCCCCAACATCCTGCAGTACGGCAGAAGAGAACATTTCACACCTCAGGGCCAAGTTTTGCCTGACCTTGCTCGCGAAGACAAAATAAAAATAATAAAAAAAAAAAACTTTTATCTTGCACACAAGGTTAAGGGAGTTGATAAAGATGTCTGATAAGGGTTCAGTGCACTGATGGTGCAAGTTCAGGGTAAAGGCAGGGGAGGTTCCACCTCAAGGAGTTGTTTGAGGGGCTGTTGTTCACCTCAGACCTCGCGTTCCAGACGCTCACATCAAAAATTAGTGTTACAAAAATAACGCTCCTGTGATGTCTGGGTGGAAAAACTTACAAATGCCACCTCCTGACTGCCACGGCAGCTGGGCAGAAGCGCCACCACCCAGTGCTCCCTCCCTCTGAAATATATTCATTTAACAGCAGGATTTATTGGATTGTTTCCTCACTAAAAGGTGTCATTGCCCAAATCATTTCAATGAGACCTTGAGGGAAGAGCCCAGGCAGAGCTGGGGCCCGAACAAGGCAACCCAACAGGGCTGAATTTTAGAAGTCTCCTTTTCCTGAAGATTCCTAAATCTAGTTCAGTGTCTCTCAGCTTCCACAAAACCAACACAAATCCCCCCTGATATGGGAGCCTCAGGTATTTCAGGACCTCAACTGAAATCCACCCCAAGTTCTGCCAAATTTAGGAATTAAAACAAGGAATCCAGTGCCCCACCAACTCCACCAAAGGAGGGAGCTCGTCCTACCCCACAGACATCCCCTGCAGCCATGTCCTGCTCCGTAATGATTTGCAGACCCTAAACCATCCATATTATAAAACAAAGCCTAATATATTTGATGGACCAGGAAGGGGAATGGAAAACAGCTGGGAAACATTAGAGTTTTCACACTGAGCCTTCGAATTCTTTAGCAGGAGACACTCAAACTGCCCTCACCCCTATGGAAAACGAGGCTGGGACAAAATCCACTGTATGGAAAGCGAGGCTGGGACACAATCCACTGGGAAGAGGGAAATTCTAGTGGAAGGAGGAAGTTCCAAAAGCCTTGAGTGGTCTGAGCAAAACCAGAGGTTACACTGAGGATGGCAAACACCTCCCCTTCACCCCTCAGCCCCTTCCCCTCCACCCCACGGCGGCGGGCACAGAAGCCTCCTTTGTACATGAAATCCCACTTGGAGGGGGTAAGAGGATATTTCCTGTTAACCTCGCCGCAGATTTGTAATCCAGCAGTCAAATTATGTCAATCACAGCTCATTAGGCACCGATTTCCCCTGCCAACTCGGGCCTGGCTGCCTCCTCCAAACCACGTGGCGTTTGCAAACGTGCAACCCCGCTACGGGATCAGGGAGAGACCACCCTGCTGCAGGAGTTGGGAGGTTGGAATTCACCCCCCCTGGATCCCAGCTTCCCACACGGAACAGCGGTGCCACCGTGGCCAGGGATGCTCCCGGCACGCTTGGCGTGATGAGCAATGGTTTTCTCCGCTGCAAACCAGGGTTGGACACCACAATCCAGGGGTTTATGCCCCACAGGATAAAGCCAGGGAAACATCCCACAAGGCTGAGGAGGAAAAGGGAGCATCATGGGGAAGGCAGGTCAGCTCAGAGGCAGCTCTGGGATCCGGATCTCAGCTTGCCCATCACCCCTCACGGGCACACGGGGGACGCGGTGGCAATGGCACATCCCCCCTTCCCTGGGCTGCAGCGTAAACTTGAGACTGAGGGAATTATCTCACAGGAAAGGGGGACAATTCACATCAGTCTGAGAGGATGGAAGGCACAACACAGCTTACAGGCAGAAAGCTGGGCCTCTCTTGGGTTCTCCTCCACGTTCCCCTCCGTGCAGCACATCCCACCAAACACGACACGCACCCCCTGGGCCTCACCACACAACACTGACTACAGCAGTGCCACAAGCAGCACCAGGAGACACAGATCCACAGGAAAACCCTCTCGTGCTGCTGGTCCAGCAGGCCCAGAGGTGTGGCACAGCCGGGCCTGGCACCACTGCCCCTCACACGGGCTCAGCACAACCTCGGTAACGCCGAGGGCACCGGGACACGCTGAGATTTGAGAGCTTCACCCAAAAAGTGTCACCTGGGGCACTGCCCATCATCTCCTGCAGCTGGTACACCTCAAGGAGCAAGGCCACCCAGAGGTGGTTCTGCGTGTCTGAGGTGACAAACCACCTCACCAGAGCCCTTCCTCAAGACCAGCTCCTCGAACAACCCGGCAAACAAACGCTGGCACGCTCGTCCATCACCTCCTGGCACACCATGCCCTGGCTGCAGGGACCACAGAGATCCTGGAGAAGCTCAGGAGAGCGTGTTCAAAGTGGGAAAAATAAAACAGACGCCGTCACGGCACTGGTGGCAAAACCTTGTGCTCTCCTCGTGGCCACGGACACGGCTCGGAGGGTGATGGCTCATCGTTCTGCACGAGGGGGGGGAAGAATAAAACTTCCAAACACGCTCGTGAGGCTGCACAGGGGGAACCTTTCCTGCACAACCCAATCCTGGCACGCAGAACTGGAGACAAACCTCTCAGCACGGTGACTCCAGACCTGCACGAGCAACTCAGCTGAGCCTCGTTGTTCGTCGGTGTCACAAACAGTCCTGGGAATTTCGTTAGCGATACGAGAATTGCCATTGTCAGCAAAGCCCTCCAGGACCTCACCAGAGCTCCCCAGCGTGCGAGCGACGCTGGTGCCAGGCTAATTTCTTAAGACAGCGTGTAAAGAAGGTGAGATTTAGTCCTACAACCTTCAGCTTCTTCTTCATACTCACATCTCCTGACTGATCCGCCATCCCCACAGAAAACACCCCTCATCCTTCTTCCCCTCACCATCCCTTTCTCGTCAATCCCTGCAGCTCTCAGTCCCGCTCTGGGGTTTGACGGGTGGCACACTCATCCTCCCCTCAGAGCCACAGGGAAAGCAAAATAATAACAGCCCGGGAGTTTATTCCTTCAGGAGCCGGCCAGAGATTTCCTGGAAGCTGCAACACCACCAGCCATCCCTGGCTGGCTTCCAGGACGGGATGAAGGTGATTTTTGGAGCCCCATCTTGCAGCTTCTCCCAACGGGAGAAGGAATCAATGGGAGCAAACCTTCCAACACCCCATTTGTACAGACTGTGCCTCTGCACGGCCTCTCCCTCCAGCAAAGCTACAGCACTCGCCCTCTGAGCCTTTATTTAAGTCCATCTTTAGAACCAGAGGCCATCTCCTCCTTTCAAGTACCTCAGGAAATCACAGGCACGGCCCTGTTATCTCCCATATTTACGTTACGCGTCTCTAACGCTTTCCCAGACGACGTCTCTGCCTCTGACTGATCTAATCAATCAGTCCCAACTCAAACCCACCGGTTCTCTTCCCCCAGACCACGCAGGCAAACCACGCCAGACGCTCCTGCGGCAGGTCAGGATGAACCCAGACCCGATTCTGAGCCATGTGCCGCCTGCGGGAGCATCTCCCGTCCGCAGAACGACCGCGGCTTTCCCGACAAGAGCGACACGACATCAGGGTTTTTCCACTGTGCCTAATAATCGTAACATCTCACTCGCCATTTGGCTCGTCAGTGGGGGTTCCTGACTGAATAGGCTTATTCTTTTCTTAGACATGATAATCTAATTGGGTCTAACCAGAAATAATCCCCAACGCACACCAGCTCGCGAATCCTCGCCCAGCGCCGGGAGCGTTCCGCGGACCGGGGGGGCTGCCCCGGGATGCGAGACGGGAATTACTCCGGCAGCAGCTCTGCTTGCCGGGCTTTCCCTGGCACTGCAGGGAGCGCAGGGCATGGCACGCACATGGGGCCGCTCGCCCTCCTCCCCCGGCTCTGCTCCACGCGGAAACGTGGCTCAGAGTGGGGAGGAGGGCACGGCAGGAGGAGACGGGTCGCGACAGCCGAGCGGCGACAGCCGAGTCGCGCTGCTCGGGCACCTGAGAGCGAGCGGGAGGTTCGCCCAGGGAGCACCCAGGGGAGCACCCAGGGGAGCGCAGCCCTGCCGGTCCCAAACACCCAGCCCGTCCTGCTGGCACGATCCCCCAGCCCGGCACCGGCCCCGCCGCCCCGCACACACCGCGGGGGCAGCGCCGGGGGGTTCCCCGGGGGGACACAGGACCGGGGTGTCCCCGTTGGTAGGGGGGGCAGGACAGGGGTGGCCGCGGGGAGGATGGGGAGGGGGGACAGGACCGAGGTATCTCCAGGGGGCAGAGCAGGGGGGCTCCCCGTGGGAGAGGGAGGGGAGTATGTCCGTGTCGCAAGACCGGGGTGTCCCGGCGGGGTGGCAGGCCCGGGGTGTCCCGGGGGGCTCCTCCGGGCCGTGCCGGGCCGGGCCGATCCCTGCCCGCAGCAGCCGCCCCGCCGGGGCCGCCCCCGCCCGCGGGCTGCGCTCCTCCGGCGCCGGGCAAACCGGCCGGGGCTCCGCCTGGGCTCGGCCACGGGCGGCTCTCGGGGGGGGCTCCCGAGACAAAGAGCCGCGGCCCCGTCCCGCGGGCGGGGGGGCCGAGCCCACCTGTGCCCGGCCGCGGCTCCCGCTCCAACTTTTCGGCGCTCCGCCCCCCCCCTCCACCACCACCATCCCATCTCCCCGCTCCGCGCCGCCCGCAGACAATGGGGCCGGCGCCGGCTCACCAGGACCACGGCGAAGCGCTCCTCCAGCTCTCCGGGCTCGGGCATGGGCAGCTTGAGGGGCAGGCTGTGCGCCCGCAGCTCGGTGTGCTGCGCGTCCACGCTGCCCGCGTTGCCCATGGCGGCCCCCTCGGCGCTGCCCCGCGGGCTCCGCGCTCCAAGCTCGGGGCTCCCTCTCCCTCTCTCTCTGTCTCTCTCTCTTTACCACCGCCGGCGCTTCGCGGCGCCGCCGCCCGTCATGGCTCGCCGCCCTCGCCCTCCTCCCCCCGGGGCGGGCTCGCTCCGGCTCCGGCTGCGGCTCAGGCTCCTGCTCCGGCTCCGGCTCCAGCCCGGGCTGCGGCTCCCCCGCATGCCGCCCGCACAAAGCCCCGCTCCGCCCCCGGCCCGCGGCGCCATGGGACTCGTAGTCCCGCCGCCAGCCGGGGGAGGGACGCGGGGAAGGGCTGGGGAGGAGTGGGGAAGGGATGGAGAAGAGGTGGGAAGGGGATGGGGAGTGGTGGGCAGCGGCGGGGGCGACCCTGCCGCCTCCTTTTTTCGGCTGAGCGGCCGCGCTGGGCAGGGATGGAGGGGCAGGACACGGGGAACGGCTTCGTGCGGCCAAGGCAAGGGGGGATTGGGGATTAAGAAGGAATTCCTGGCTGGGAGGGTGGGCAGGCCCTGGCACAGGTTGCCCAGAGAAGCTGTGGCTGCCCCTGGATCCCTGGGAGTGTCCAAGGCCAGGCTGGACGGGGCTTGGAGCAACCTGGGATGGTGGAAGGTTGGGATTGGAACTGGATGATCCTTGATGGCCCTTCCAACCCAAACCATCCTGGGATTCCACGATCTCCATGCACCCACTATGGTGCCAGCGTGGGGCTGACACTGCAGCCTCGGGGATCTGTTGGGTTCAAGCACCAATCTGTATCCCACTGTCTTCTATTAACTTTCCCCTTCCAGGGAAGAGTGATTTTCACTCAGCTGTCACCTTCACCACAGCACTCTTACTGCTGTTTCTCCTCAACCTGAAGATCGATTTTTTTGGGGGGGGGGGAAGCAAGAAGATAAGCATCGTTGTTTAGAAAATGACCGTTCCCTAATTTATTCCCTCTGGGATGGCAGTCGTGCCAGAGGCACAGCTCGCTGGGAATCCTGTGTGGCAGCACACGCAACCCTGCAGTGGAAATCCGTGGAAGTGACAGGATGCTTTTTTCTGTGTGTGCTCTAAACCCACTGCTAATTAAATGTGCTCATCCTAATTAGAAAAAAAAAAAAAAAAAGACATAAAACATCCATGACTGGGATGGGGAGTCCTGGATTAGACCCCACCTTGCCCACGGAGTATCAGGAACCCCAAGCGATGCCGAAGGTGTGGATTCCTGCTCCACAGGCACTGGGGAAGGTGTTACCCCAGGGACAGCCCAGGATTTCATACAAATGCCTTGTCAAAAGTCTGAAATTCTTGCAATATCCTCAATAAACTCCCAGAGAGCCCTTGGGAGTCAATAACAGCGTTGTTGTCGCTCGTGAAGGGATCGGTAATAGATACTTCGCTCAGCGTCTTTTATCTAAAACTATCACAATTCTCTGAAAGATTAATTAGTTAATTAAGCTCCACAACACTGCTGTGAGATAAGGGAGCAGTGGAGTGTCACTGATAACAGAGGGTCAGGATACAGGGAGCTGGAGAGAGTTTCCAGCCCGGGATCCTTCCCTCTCCCAGCAGCAAATTGCCAGCTGGGAATTACCCGCGACAACAACCTGACTCCAGCGTGAGGAATCCCAGCGTTTTCCCAGTCAGTCATTCCCACCAGGGGAGCACTCAGGAGCCTCATTTGTTCTGAATCAAGGGGCAAATCCCCTCAGCATTTTTGCGTCCCTCTGGTCACAGGGACACGGTCGGGGCCCAGGAGGAATATTCCTGAGGCCAGCCAGGAATACCTGGGACAGGCACTGGGATAATTGCAGGGCAAACTGGATTCCTTGGCTTGGGTCTCGGCAGGGAGCCAAAGGCAGCTCCAAATCCTGCTACGAGGCATATTCAGGTCAAAACCAGCCTTGCAAAGTTTTTAATGAAATTAGCCATCCTTGCACACAGCAACTGTTTGACATCAATGCGGGAGCGCAAAGGAAGGGATCCTTTCAAGAGAATAAGAGGATTTGGAAGCAATTTGTTGCCCGTAACTGGGATGTCAACGTTTGCAAATGTCAAAACGAGCCTGGCAGCGGTGCTAAATAAAAAAAAAGGGACTCAGCTGGCTCACACGAGGCTAAGAAATTATTCTGGGATAAAAATTCATGAACAAGAGCTTTGTTTATTACGTTTATTTATTCAAATAAACGTAAAAACAATGAAGTAAAAACGTAAATGTAAAAACAATAAACGTAAACGTAAAAACATAAACGTAAAAAAAAAAGAAGCTACACAATGTGCAATTCCCAGAGCTCATCCCAGGCACCTGGACAATCCAAAACAGGTGATGCCACCAGGATTAATGGCCATACCAGCTCTGCAAGGGCTCCATGCCACAAGCACGTGTGGAATTTCACTGGAGAATGAGACATCTCAGCCTTTCCTCGAGCTCCTTGGTCTGTTTGTCACCAAAATCCCCACACAATAAGCTGGAATGACCTGAGTCATTCCTAAATTCTCCTGAACCGGTGTCCACTTATCTCCCTATGGAAGGGTCATGGGTTTGTGATCATAACCCCGTGAGAGAGCTGAGCCTGGCACAGGAACGAGGGTTACTGATGGCAGCACACGAACACTGACCTTTTCTGGGAGACAGAGAGCGGGGTGTGGAGTAACGGGGGAAAGTAATAAAAAAAAACAACCCACAGGCTGCTCTCTGAGAGCAGTTTTCTCCAGGAAAATAAGAAGCTGCAGGGTGGGGAGACACTGGCACGGGTTGCCCGGAGAAGCTGTGGCTGCCCCATCCCTGGGAGTGTCCAAGGGCAGGTTGGAACAACCTGGGCTAGTGGGAAGTGTCCCTGCCCAGGGCAGGGGGTGGAAAAGATGGGCTTTAAGGCCCCTCCCAACCCAAACCAACCTATGATTCCGTAATTCTACGAAAATCACCTGGAGCCTGAAAAGATCCCACTCATCCCAAGGGACCATTCCACTGCCACATCCACATCTTTTCTCCAGCCACGTGGAGGTCACCACGTGAACCCTGTACGGGTTTGATGCCACCTCCTGCACCTGGATGGGCACATCTGCCTGCCTCCTCCCCCCTTTCCATGCCCATGTCCACATCCCCCTGGTCCAACTGCTGTTTCTCCATCTCATGCTGAGATCTGAGCTTGTGACACCAGACGGGAACGCTCCATCCCCAATATGAAACATTATCAGGTTCATACCTAACCAGCCCCTCTGATTTTTCTCTGTCTGCTACAAATTGAGTTATTCCCTCTGGATCTGGTTTCCCTGCAGCAGCTCTGCTCTTCTCTGGCCCTGCTGACGTCCTCTGGTGTCACTGCCAGCACTCCTGAGATGAGGTGCAGCTCCATCACAGCAGGCTGTGATGTCAGCGGGATGAGATCAGCCCCAGGTCCTGCTCAGGGCCACTCCCCTGCCAGCACCCAGCTCTAGATTATCACATCCCCATCTCCCACAGGAGGGTGCATTGAGTTACACCCACTTAATCCAGGACTAATCGATCCTTTGAGTCTCTCTGCTCCTTCCCAAGGAGTGGGTTCAGCTCCCAGCATTGGCACTGGACCCACGGGCTGGAATCCGGGTGTGTGATGGCACACAGCAACACCCAGGAGGGGTGAGGGAAACCCTGATGGTGCCTCCGTGATCAGGGAGATTATTCTTCTCTGGACACCAGTGGGAATGATCTGCCACAGCCTGGAGAACCAACCAGTGCCAGCAAACAGCAGGAGCATCTGCTCTGGGGGAGGGAGTGAGGGGCTGCTTTTGAAATGGGGCCCTGAGAGAGGCACCTCAACCACGATGCCCACTCAGCTCTGACACTTCCCTGAGAAATTAATGCGGTTTAAGGGTAAAACAAGAGGATGGGGCAGCCACAGCTTCTCTGCCCAACCCGTGCCAGAGCCTCACAGCCGGGAATTCCTTCCCAATATCCCATCTGTCCCTGCCCTCTGGCAGTGGGAAGCCATTCCCTGTGTCCTGTCCCTCCAGGCCTTGTCCCCAGTCCCTCTCCAGCTCTCCTGGAGCCCCTTTAGGCCCTGCCAGGGGCTCTCAGGTGTCCCTGGATCCTTCTCTTCTCCAGGTGCAAAGGCTGGGATGGAGAATCCCCAGGGAGCGCTGGGATGTGAAGAGGAACACCTGGAGCTGGGGGACACCCCACTTCCAGACTGGGGTGGTGACCCTCGGGATCAGCCCTGGAATCTCCACGTTCCTGCTCATCTCCTGTGATCAAACACACCCCAGTGCTGTTTGCTGGTGGGACCGAGCCCGGCCAGGAGCTCGTCCATGATTTACTGGCAGGAAGGCAAGCAGGCAAAACATAACTTCGGAATTCCCAGCCAGGCTTGGGATTGCAAACGCTAACGAAACTGAGATAATGGAGCAGAAAATAGCGGGAGGGAAGGAGTCAATATTTAATAAAGCCGCTGTGTGAGTGCAGTGAGATGCAGACCGGTCCTGCAGGAGATGCAATAATTACCAGCAGAGCCTCCTCTCCGCTGTTCCCGGCCGTGGAGGGGCTGCAGCTCGGCCCTCAGCTGGCTCCTGGCTCCAAAGGCCACCCGTGGGACAATGCCAGCCATTGTCCCCGGGCAGGAGGACAGCTCCCTGTGCCTCCACGCACACAAGCGCCGCACAAGTTCCCATTGTTTCCCCACCAAAGGGCTCCTGACAAAGAGCTCCCGAGGATGCTTGGGCAAGAGGAATAAAATTAATTCCATTTTTTTCAACTGATAGAAGCTGTTTAGAGGCCTTAAACGGGTTTCAGAACTCCTGAGGAAAAACAAAAAATGGATTTCAATTCATAGGACTGATTAATAACGTTTGTCTCCCAGCAAGGCAAGGGGAGGGGGAGGATTTGCCAGAGCAGGGGTTGTGCAGCCACTGGAAACACCTTTTGCAGACCTTTAAATCACGTTTTCCAATGTCACCAGCTCCCCTAAATGATGTCTCACTGCAGCCAAAGCTCCCACAGTGCTGAGCTCTCCTTGCCCCCCCTTCCCGTGTAACCGGTGCCCCCGGGATGCTCCATGGACACGGGGTGGGTGGCACTGTGGCCTCTCCCGGCTTCTGGTTTAAATTTAGGGACTCCTCTGCATTTGCCAAGTGAAAGAGTTGCCTGCATCTGGGGATGTGTGGAGTGGGAGCACTGCTGGGAGTGCTC